CCTCGAGGAGACTTGTTATTTTAACATCTATTTTTTTCTTAATTGGGATCATTATACAGTTGAGTACGCATACATAACTGTAACCTAAAAACAAGCGGTGATCATGTGAAATCCACTTTTAAAGGTGAACATTGGCCTGTAGTTTATTTAGGGGTGCATTACAAGGTTTTTGTAATGTACAAGTAACAATGCAGCAGTGTCTGGCTTCTTGTTTGTAGTGGCATCGGTTGCCTATCAAGGTCAAAACATTTTCAGGATATCTGATAGAGATAGAAGATCTCGTGGTTTGACTTCACGTGAACACATTTGACATTGCGCATTTTTTAAATATATATTCTATTGATTTATTATTTTTAGGATTTTTGCGCAAAGTTCTACAAAACAAAGGGCTATCTGCGTATCCCTAACTGTGAATTGACTTTACTAGAAAGAAACGACATCCATCGTTGACCCTTGGCTGACTGAGTAGTGGGATTTGACTCTCGCTCTTATAACACATCTACGACCTAAACTTACGGAGCACATTTTTGTGGTTACGAGAGGTGAAGCAGAATCCTCTAGTTCCTAATCAGGTCACACAATCACATCCGGCCCATTTTTTAATGACGTCATTTTGCGATGCAATATGGTAAATGAATAATATTTCAACAAGTGGTTTGTTTGGAATTATGCACAAAGCTACACAATGGGCTATCTGTGCTCTGCCCACCACGGGTATCGAAACCCGGTTTCTAGCGTTGAAAGTCCGCAGACATACCGCTGTGCCAACAAGTGGATTATCTCTGATTATAATGCCACGGTTCAGGGGATTTGTGAGAAGCAGTGTTCTTCATACAATGTGAAGTCGTTATTTTTGGAGACTGAGAGTGGAATGTATTTCATATGATGGGAATAAAGCTTATTCATTAATTTAATAGCTAATGAACCAGTAATTTATTATACATTATTATTACCAGATAATTTAATATGTGTTTTAATTGATCGCTAATTCAATGAACGAAGTAAATGACTTGTAATTTAATACATATATAATTGATAATTAATTTTTACGCTAGTTTAAGTTATCTATAAATTTACATTACCGTAATGCAAATTTTCGGTAATTTAACATACGGTTTATCTGGCCTATTGCGCTGTGTAGCTCTACCAACAATAACGTATTTATTCTTGTAAATATACAAAATAGCACTGGACAACTGTATTTGTGAGAGAATAGTTTTGTAGAACAATTTTAAAAATAATTTCTTCCGTATTTCAGTATCTATTATATAGTAGATTAGGGTGACCACAGTTTGTGGAAAATGCTTTGGGAATTTTTTTTTAAACAATAATAATGAAATATCTAATAAATTCTTTTAACCTTTAGGCTTAGAAACTGTCGATTTCTGAACCAAAATTTAGTAAACGTAACTATTAATTATTAGATAAGTTAAGCCAGTTTTGAAACTAAAGAAATTTGAACTTCTGGACTTAGAAACTAATAGTGTGTGTGATGCCCAAACTTCTAGGCAGGGGCGGATTAAGAGTCAGACGGTCCAGGAGCTTTTTCTACCGGGCCTATTATGATCGCGACTAAAGACTAGAGTGAAAAAAAACAACTAAACCTCATAACGGGCCTTTTTTTAGCCCGAGCCTGGGGCTACTGCCCAAATAGCCCATCTTAACCTGCCCTTGCTTCTAGGAGTCCGTGAGAATTCTAAAAAGGGCCACTACGATAAAGATTGAGTTTTCATATAATAGCGAAAATAAAAAGAAACGGTACTACGTTCGCTTAAATGGATTTTTTTTTTATTTGAATACTTCATTAACTTTCGTAATTATTTATGTCAATGCCGCTTTAATGCACCATAAAACTGGCTTTCGTATGCTGATAGAGCTATTTGGTTCGTCAAAGGGTCCATGAAATATGAAAAGTTGAGAACCACTTGTCTCTAAACAGTTTGTAGGAATAAAAATGAACAATATACAAGCTTAGAAACAAGCAGTCTAAGCAATTGTTTGGCATGGAAACAGTAACTGAGGAATTCTAGGCCTAGAAACAGTAAGTCTGCGCAACTTTTAGGCCTATAAATTAATAGTCTGAATATCGTTTAGGAGTAAAATCTGACGATGTATAAACACACTTGCGTAATAAAAACTCTGAATATTGAATATAACACTGACCTGTCAGACTGTTTTAACAACTAGCTACGTGTGCGCACGATTCTCGTATATGTGGTTTTAAATCTTCATTTAAATTAATGTTTTCATAATGCCTATTGCGCATGTCTGTGAAACGTGTCAAATGCTTGAATGAGCTATTTGATTAGTTAACGTTATTTATTTTAGTTGTTTGCCCTAAGTTTATGTGGATTATTATGTAAGAAATGACAATTGAAATATTGATGAAAGTAGATAACTTGCGGTGGCACGAGTTGAATATATTTACAGATTTAATATAGAAGTGTGTGTAATTCTGTGTTGTGTATATGTAAAAAACATAATTAAAATGTCAAGTTCGTCCAAATATTTGAGAAGTTGGAATTACTTTACACTTGTACGGAGATTTCCACAATAAAACGAGAACAATATAATAAACCGTAAGCCTTGTTTGTCATAGGAAGTAGCCGTTAGTAATAAATTGCCGTCACGTGACGTATGAGGTTTCTGGTTGTTAGACATTCAATTTTGTCTCGTTTAGTTAAAGTTGGTTTTTATGACGTGTTAGAGAAGCGACAGCACGCATCCTACTAGCTGTTGGTAGACTGACTACATGTACTATGTCCTGAAAAGAAATATGGTTCGTGACCTGCACGAGATTTAGTTGTCCGGGCCTTTACGGCTAGATTTTGCTGCAACAAATCAGGGAAAGTTTTTTCTTGGAATTTTAGTCGTGTTATAAAAACCTTCAAATTTAACACGCTGTCGTAATTTACTCTCATTAAAATCGGTGGCCAGGCGTAGCTTAGCGGTTAGCGTGTCGGTTTATATGCATTCGATGGTACATGGTTCGTCGTTTTCCACTGCCTTAAAATCGCTCTCCGAATTTTGGGGCAGTGTTTACGTTATAAGAGTAACTGTCACATCCCGATATTTGAATTTCGCGCAAAGCTACACGAGGGCTATCTGCGCTAGCCGTCCCTAATTTATCAATGGAAGAATAGAGGGAAGGTAGCTAGCTAGTCATCACCACCAACTCTTGGGCTACTCTTTTACCAACGAATAGTGACCGTCACATTATAAACGCCCCCACGGCTGGGAGGGTGAGCATGTTTGGTGGGACGGGGATTCTAACCCGCGACCCACAGATTGCGAATCGAGCGCCCTTACCACCTGTCCTTGCCGGGTCTCCTGATATTAGATTAAGTGGCCTTAGAACTGAAAGTGGGTGCTGTTGACTCGCTGCCTTCCCTATAGCCTGTTAGCCCAGAATTAGAGATGGTTATGCGCAGATAGCTGTTGTGCACACACACATTAAACACCATTATTCAAGTATCTCAATATTTCTACGAATGGGTTATTGGTTTTAATTGATTTTCTGGAAAGTAAGCTTTAATTTGACATTCAACTTTTTGGTTTTTACAAGAGTGGTAAAACGAGTATTGGAACTTCCTCTCATTTGGAGTTTCTACAAGTTTTTTTTTTTTATTGTTTTAATTTAAATTCAAATTAACCCTAATGGAAATTCTTAATTAGGTGGGAAGAACATATATTTCCGAAGCGTTACTTGTTCGATTTGAAATTTCATCACGTTTAAACGTTAAAGTCTTTTCAACTGTTAAGTAATTTAATGGAATATTTCTGCAAATAGTTTTGCTATTCAAAACTGAGTCGCTTTTCTCTATTAGTAGTAGTTTGACCGGGTGTGGTCTAGTTATTTGTATGTCGAGCTACTCCGCATCGAACACGATTCGTATTTTCAGGTGTGGGCTCGTATAAAAGTGATTCAATCTCGTTATTCGGTTCAAAGAGCCAGACAAAGTTATTGCGACGGCGGGTGTTACTAGCTGTTTTCCCTGTTGTCACAGTGACTCAAAATTAGGGACAACTAATACCTGAATGTTTTACATTGAAAGAAAACTAAAAAAGGAAGTATTAAAACGAGCAAAGAGAATTGTGGATATATGTAGGGAACGGAAGGCGCCATACTTTGTGCGTATAATTAGTTCTGAGGGGAGGTGCGCAGAGATTCGGATGGGTAAAATTGAAGAAAGAAGAACAAGACTTGGCTCGATGACATTAGAAAATGTATTTGAGATGAGAAACTTGAATTAAGAAAGTTGTTGTAGGCAGCGAGGAATAGCGAATAATGGTGGATCATTGTCGTCGACCCTCAGAATTGGGAAGAACACTATGGTTGATTGATATATCTGAATCCCAGGGAGGCCCCGCCCGACCTTGCCGTTTTGACCACGTGCACAAATAATGCCGTTCAGGTTCAAAATTTCAATTGGAAGTAATTTATAACAAGTTTGCATCGTTGAGAACATGGAAATTAAGTCGCTAGTAAAGTAAAGAATGTAGCACAAACCATCACCATTCTTCCTTCAAAGTATTTCTACACAATGTAAACACGTTAGATAAGACTTAATCTCTATAGGGATTCTAACGAGTTATCTAAATGATTTATGATGGATATTTCGAAATACTACAATCATTCTAAAAATCCTCAGTAATTAAAGTAACACTGTATGATTTAAAGGTAGAATTAAGATGGGAACAAATAACCAAAAACTATAATTGTATAGTTTGTATATAGAACTAGCTAAACACAAGCGTTTTCGTAAGTTAATGTTCGATTTTTTTTCTATGGCTAACTGGATTTCGAACCCTTACCGATATTTATCGAGATTCAAATCCTGCTTGATTTAATTTTTGGTTTTAATTTAAAAAAATAGATATTGTGCCACTCTGGTGTCGTGTGTAATGATTAATGTTTTTTTAGTCCGTGGTCTTTACATTGGTTGCATATGATTTATGTTTGTTAATATTTACGAAATATGTTGTGTTAAATTTTTCAGCGCCATCTACACAAGAATGCAATATGGAGCTGACAATCAACAAAACTACAGAATGTACTCTCACGTTTACCAAAATGATTGGTTACAACACCCAGTCTTTCTCTAAAAATCCTGAAAAGCTCTGTTGGTAAGTAGCAACAACAAAAAATTAACGTTTTAAAAATACACAATTTAGAATCTTTATTTTCAGGATGACATTGATAAAATAAAAAGATTAATGTAGATGTACTCCTACGGGTTTCCCGCAAGTGTTCTGTTTCAAGAGTAAATAAAACCAAAACTATGAGTAACAAATCGTTTTATTTTTTGCTTTTGAAGTTCATATATCCTGATGTGTTGTAGCCTACAGAATGCATAATTCTTCTCATGATTCATGACATGCGCACGTTTTACTGATATCACGACAGTACAAATTGCATCGTTAAGCGTCCCTCATGCGACGTCATTTTAGTGTCAACTGACTGACAGACAACACATTACTGTATAGTAGTTTGAGTGGTTAAAACAGGTGAGCCCTCCAGATGGCCTTCGAACCCTATTCGGGGAAATAAGTTCAGACGAAAGAAGATTTAAATATTCACAAAGTGAACGCTTTAAAATACACAATTTAAAATCTCTATTCACAAGATGACGTTGATTCGTTGAAACACGTATATTCTCTGTTTTTTTATTTATTTATTTTAGACCGTTGAAGGTATCAAAGTAAAATTATAAATCGTGTATTTTAAACTGCTTACTGTGTGAGTATTCTAATCTAGTTTTTAAACAAGTACCTGGAATTTTAGCCTTAGCGCTTAGGAGTTGGCGGTGGGTACTTGACTAGCAGTTGAAACTAAGTGACAGCTATGCGCAAATAGCTCTTATGTAACCATTCGCAAAAGTTCTGAAACAATCGAAAAAAAATCCTATAAGAAATTAATTGTATACATTTGCGCGGGAAGAAATAAACGAATTTCAGGTTAGTGTTATATTTACTAAAAACGTCACTAGGGGGCAAAACTAATAATTAAATCAATTCTTTCATGGATGGGAAAGGTACCACGTGTGTGATTATAACTAATTGTATGTTCAAGTCGGATAAATCTGATTCATTTGCTACCACTAAAAACCAGTACTTAAGAGATGGCATCTAAGGAACTTCAATTGAATTTAGTAACATCAATTTGGTTTGACCAATCACATTAAACAGCTACAACAAATGACATACGAGGTTGTATCATTTCTATTTTCAGTCCATATGCTAGTCTGTGATTATCAAGTCCTAAGATAAGTTTTAAACCATTAAGTTTGTTATTTTACTTAGGAAAGACGTGAGTCAGTTGGAAATCTAATTCCCAGTTCCAATTGTTAAAGTACTTATTTGTGATTTTTAGTGAAAAACTTTAAAATATGAAAATGACAAATAATTAATGATGTTTCCCTAAAATTTTCACATCGCTATGTGCAGAATTAAGAAAATATTTAAGGTATTATTTGCAAAAAAACACACAAAAACCTAAATCTCAAAGGAACGTTATTAAAACTTTCCATACAACACGGTCCCAAGCAGTATAATGATAATGTTTTACTTAGCAGTATGTTATATATTGTAAGATATGTTACCAAACGTTTTGTTAAACAGTGTGGTATATTGTAAGATATGTTACCAAACTTTTTGTTAAACAGTGTGGTATATTGTAAGATATGTTACCAAACGTTTTGTTAAACAGTGTGGTATATTGTAAGATATGTTACCAAACGTTTTGTTAAGCAGTGTGGTATATTGTAAGATATGTTATCAAACATGTAACTAAACAGTGTGGTATATTGTACGATATGTTATCAAACGTTTTGTTAAACAGTGTGGTATTTTGTAAGATATGTTATCAAACATGTCACTAAGCAGTGTGGTATATTGTAAGATATGTTATCAAAGGTTTTTTACAATAACGTTTTGTTAAGCAGTGTGGTATATTGTAAGATATGTTATCAAAGGTTTTTTACAATAACGTTTTGTTAAGCAGTGTGGTATATTGTAAGATATGTTATCAAAGGTTTTTTACAATAACGTTTCACTAAGCAGTGTGGTGTATTGTAAGATATGTTATCAAATGTTTTTTCAATAACGTTTCACTAAGCAGTTTGGTATATTGTAAGATATGTTATCAAACATATCATTAAGCAGTGTGGTATATTGTAAGATATGTTATCAAAGTTTTTTTACAATAACGTTTTGTTAAGCAGTGTGGTATATTGTAAGATATGTTATGAAACATGTTACTAAGCAGTGTGGTATATGGTAAGATATGTTATAAAATGTTTTTTACAATAACGTTTGTTAAGCAGTGTGGTATATTGTAAGATATGTTATCAAACATGTTACTAAGCAGTGTGGTATATGGTTAAGATATGTTATCAAATGTTTTTTACAATAACGTTTCACTAAGCAGTGTGGTATATTGTAAGATATGTTATCAAATGTTTTTTACAATAACGTTTCACTAAGCAGTGTGGTATATTGTAAGATATGTTATCAAATGTTTTTTACAATAACGTTTCACTAAGCAGTGTGGTATATTGTAAGATAT